GCCACAATGCCCAGCTATTTTTTGGTTGCAGCCGTCATTGTTGTTTGGTGGACCTGGGCTGGATTTGAACCCGTCACCTTAGGTGTATGTGGCTGGCACCTTAGCCACGTGAGCCACAGGCACCGAGCCAACAGGATTTTTAAAACCTCACCAAGTAGTACAGAAAATATTTCAGTTGAGGGCTGGATGTCATGGCTCACACCTGTAATCCCAGGGAAGGTGGGAAGCCGAGGCAGGTGGATTGCCTGCGATTACGGCTTTGAGACCAGCCTGAGCCAGAGCAAGACTTCACTGCTAAAAATAGCCATGTGTTGTGGCGGGCACCTGTAGCCCCAGCTACTCAGGAGGCTGAGGCAAGAGAATCGTTTAAGCCCAGGAGTTTGTGGTTGCTGTGAGCATGACACCAAAGCAATCTGCCAAGGGTAACAAAGTGAGACTCTGTCTCAAAAAAGAAAGAATAAAAAAGAAAGAGAGAAAATATTTTAGTCCAGAAATGCTTCAAGATACTTTTCTCCTTTGCTTAAGATCAGAGGTTACAGTAACTGGCAACAACCTGCTCTAACAATGTGAAACTGTCCAAGAAGTCCTCCTCTTCAATTCCAAATTTTGTGTACTGATGAATGTAGGCTCTGGTAAGAAAATAAAAATAAAATTTCAGGCTGGTGAATAACTTATTTTTTTCACCCTGGGTAGAGTGCTGTGGCGTTATAACTCACAGCAACCTCAAACTCTTGGTCTTAAGCAACTTTCTTGCCTCAGCCTCTCAAGTAGCTGGGACTACAGTGCCTACCACAATGCCCAGCTGAGTTTTTTTATTTTTGATACAGATGGGTCTTACTCTTGCTCAGGCTGCTCTAGAACTCCTGAGCTCAAGCAATCTACCTGCCTTGGCCTCCCAGAGTGTTAGGATTACAACCTGGGACACTGCCCCCAGCCTCAATGAATTAACTCTTAAAATCAATGAATAGACTTTTTCTAGCTTATGAACATTTAAAGATCACTCAATGTCTAAGTCTTATATTTGCTACATTTTTTACTGCAGAGATTAGTGAGCTTTCAGAATTTATGTCAAACTCCCTGTTTTGTTAGTGTTCAAGACACTGACAAGCAGCAGCAGGAAAAAGTGCCTGTGGCTCACTGAGCAGGGCACAGCCCCATATACCAAGGGTGGCGGGTTAGAACCCGGCCCAGGCCAAACTGCAACAAAAAAAAAATGGCCGGGCATTGTGGCTGGCGCCTGTAGTCCCAGCTACTCGTGACCCTGAGGCAAGAGAATTGCCTAAGCCCAGGAGCTGGAGGTTGCTGTGAGCACTGTGACGCCACAGCACTCTACTGAGGGCGACAAAATGGGACTCTGTCTCTAAAATAAAGAAAAAAGCAAAAAGCAGCATGTTCAGATTTGGTTGTCCACCCAACACATCCTTAATACCGTACAGGAGATGACTGGGTTCAATATAAATTCTAAAAAGTGTCTAAGAAGTTTCTTCTAAGGGTTAAAGCTAAAGAAAACACATCAATCCAATTCTAGGAATGTGACGAAGCACCCCAAGTGCTTTTCATTTAATTTGTAGATACAGGGTGCCAGTCCCATATACCGAGGGTGGTGGGTTTGAACCCGGCCCCAGCCAAATTGCAACAAAAAAATAGTCGGGTGTTGTGTCGGGTGCCTGTAGTCCCAGCTACTCAGGAGGCTAAGGCAAGAAAATAGCCTAAGCCCAGGAGTTGGAGCTTGCTGTGAGCTGTGACGCCACAGCACTCTGCTCAGGGGCATAGGGTGGGACTCTATCTTTAAAAAAATAAATAATAATTTGCAGTTATGTCAAGGTGGTCCTCTCAGTTCCTTCCATCTCCTCCCAAAAATGTTCTGAGGCAGGAGAAATCATATCTAAAATCTCCTCCCAAAAATGTTCTGAGGCAGGAGAAATCATGTCTAAAAAAAGAGTATCAAGGGCAGATGTGGATTAAATTGGCATAATACTGCTGCTACCAGGTAGTAAGAACAGGAAGAGAACGATACCCAAAGAAAACAGAGAGTACACGGTCCTGAGGACTGGGGCGTTATGGAATGGCCACCACAGGACAGCTGGGCTCTTGGTAGAGGCTTTGTTGAGAGATGTGAGGAATTTAGCTTTGACATTAAGTAATTGTGGCAGAGGTCAAGAACCCTACTAAGGGCTCAGCGCCTGTGGCTCAAGCGGCTAAGGCGCCAGCCACATACACCTAAGGTGGCGGGTTCGAATCCCCAGCCCGGGCCCGCCAAACAACAATGATGGCTCCAACAAAAAAATGGCCAGGCGTTGTGGCAGGCTCCTGTAGTCCCAGCTACTTGGGAGGCTGAGGCAGGAGACTGGCTTGAGCCTAGGAGTTGGAGGTTGCTGTGAGCTTGATGCCGTGGCACTCTACCCAGGGGGATAGCTTGAGGCTCCGTTTCAAAAAAAAAAAAGAACCCTACTAAGATATTTCTTAGTATCAAGTGGACTTTTCCTAGTATCTGAGTTTAACTTGCCATGTATCTTACTGAGGAGTAACAGGATTTCTTCCACTCTCCTAAGCATCTTAGTTTTGAAACTTATTTATTGTCCCTGCCTTATAATGAAATTTCTACTTTAATTTCATATGGCTTAGAAAATATTCATTTAGTCAACAAGAATAATATTGAAATAATTATAATGTCATTTACTAACGAGGCATTATACTAGGTGTTTACATGATCATCTCATTTAATTCACACCCGAAATTTTCTCAGTTAGGGCCAATTTTATAGGTGAGAAAATGAAGCCTTGAAGCAAGATGCCCAAGTCTTCACCCCTATTAAGGAGTAACCATGCTTACTCCACGTCCTACTTCATGCTTTAACATTGTATCATCTACGGAAGGTTAGAAAAGTTTGTAGACTTATTCTTTACTTACTTTGAAGCAAACATATTCCATGCTTTGCCCACAATCATATCTAGTGGTTTTACTAAGAACTGGCTGTTGCTGACCAAGGTTGCAGACTTCTCATATTTGCTAAAGGCTCGCTGGGTTTTCCACACATTGAAAGCATCAACAGGCTTTAACCAGGAGGTATAGAGAGCTGGGTCTTTAAATCCGTCTAGAGTAAAAACATGAGCCATTCTTTATAGCATCAATTAATCATTGTGAAAACAAATTAATAGATGGATATTTTCTTGTCTGTTTCAGTAAAAAAAAAAAAAAAATTTTCTGCCTTTTAAAACTAGCATTAATTTAAAAATTAAAAAAAATAAAACTGGCATTAAAAGGGCCAGCAAGGTGGCTCATACCTGTAATTCCAGCACTCTGGGAGTCCGAAGTGGGAGGAAATCCTCTTGAGTCAGCCTTTCGAGTAGTTGGGGCTACAGGCACCCACCACAATGCCCAGACAGTTTTTCTATTTTTAGTAGAGATGGAGTCTCACTCTTGCTTAGGCTGGTCTCAAACTCCTCAGCTCAAGCGATCTACTGGCCTCAGCTTCTCAGAGTGCTAGTATCACAGTTTTGAGCCACCTTACCTGACCAATTTTACTATTTTTAGTAGATGTAGGGTCTTGCTCTTGCTTAGGCTAACTTCTAAACTCAAGGGATCCTCCTACCTCAGCCTCCCACAGCAACCTCAAACTCCTGGGGTCAAGCAATCCTCTTGCTTCAGCCTCCTGAGCAGCTGGGACTACAGGCACCTGCCATTACAATGACCTAGTTTTTTCTATTTTTAGTAGAGATGAGGTCTCGCTTTTACTCAAGTAGGTCTCAAACCCCTGAGCTCAATAATCCACCTACCTCAGCCTCCAACTTTTATCTTCTTTAAACCAATTTTATCTTGATATCCACTCTAACCCATACAATGGGTACATTTTGCCACGAAAGCACACTTTCCTTTCTCCAAGAGTAAGTTCAGGAAAATATAATGTGCCATATACATGTGCAAAATGTACCTCATAAGCGCCGTGTTAACTACTTACCCAGATCCGCACTTTGCACATCTTTCCCACGAAGGATGACCAAGTTAGCAATGGAAGTGTTAAAATGAAGCTCCTTGTTGAAAGGCATTTTACCAAGAGGAGGAAGCCCTGATAAGGGAGGTCGTACTTGCCAATCAATACCTATCAAAAGAAAAAACAGCATTAGACTTTTTTTTTTAATCCAGACAAGAGTCTCAGTTTGTCACCCTTGGTAGAGTGCTTTGGCATCATAGCTCACAGCAACCTCAAACTCTTGGGCTCAAGCAATTCTCTTGCCTCAGCCTCCCTAGTAGCTGGGACTACAGGCACCTGCCACAAAACCCAGCTATTTTGTTTGTTTGTTCTTGTTTTAGCAGGCCCAGGCCAGGTTCGAACCCACCAGCCCTGGTGCATATGGCCAGCACCCTAACCACTGAGCTACAGGCACCTAGCCAGCAACAGACTTTCTATGTAACTTTGAACAAGAGGTCTTGTATTTGAGACAAAGTCTCACTATGTTGCCCAAGATGTTCTCAAATTCCTGGCCTCAAATGATCTTCTCACCTCAGCCGCCTGACTTACTGTGATTACAGGCATGAGCCACCACACCCAGCTCTGGCTTAAAAATTTTTACTTGATACACGAAAGTTCATTCTTCCTCTAAACGTTTAAAAATTCTTACCTAGATGTCCTGCAGTGATTCAAGCTACCCAATTCTGAGGAAGGCATGAGATATTTATCATCGAATATCAAAAGAAAGTGATACGTACATATGAAGGAACTCAACTCAGCAATAAAAACAAACTACCAATAAATGCAACATTGACAAAGGTTATTACGCTAAGTGAAACAAGGTATACACAAAAGCTTACATACTGTATGATTCCATTTATAGGACATTCTGCAAAAGGCAAAACTATAACAAAATCCCTATAGTTTTTATAGGAGTGGAGGGGCAGATTGCCTACAAAGGGGTGTGAGAGAAATTTGGGGGATAAGTGAAATACTCTACCTCAACTGAGGTGGTGGTTATACACTATGTAAGTTTTTCAAAGTTCATACATCTATGAAAAAGGTAAACTTCACTGTATATGCTTTTTTAAAATGCTGGGTTACAGGCATGAGCCACAGTGCTTGGCCTTAGTGTGTGAGTGTGTGAGTGTGTGTGTGTGTGTATCTTTATAAAGACACAAAATACACAGAAAAATACTGAAGATGTAGAAACAAAATAAAAATAGGCACAAATGCATCAATGTACAAAGTTATGATTTAATAAAAAATAATTAATTATAAAAAAAAAGGACTGAAAATTGACTAGTCAGATAGGTATGGTGGCATGCAACTGTAGTTCCAGCTACTTAGGAGGCTGAGGTGGGAGGACTGCTTGAGCCTAGGAGTTTAAGCCTATAGTGCACTATGCTCTCACCTGTGAATAGCTACTGTACTCCAGCTGGGGCAACACAGCGACACCCTGTCTCCAGAAAAAAATTGACTAGTCAAATACCATGTTTCCCCGAAAATAAGACCTACCCAAAAAAGAAGCCCTAGCAGGATTTCTATGCATTTGTTAAATATAAGACCTAGTGATGGGCGTGGCTATGCAGCGTATCCGCAGAGCGGTAAGGAAGACTGGAATACCTTTTATCTGCCACAGCTCCTTTCTTTGAGCCATTCGCACTTGCACAGGTGTGTGGGTGGTAACTGAGGTCGCAGGCATCCTATTGCACATATGTGAACAGCTAGGGGAAAGGAGTTCACATATCACACTAGCGCCAGCCCCACCAACAAGGTTGGCTCCCCCTGTCAGGTTCCAGAAGAAGATGACTTAACTGTATTTGCATAAATGTAGATTGTTGTATTAAACTTAATAAAAACAAGACATTCCCCTGAAAATAAGCCCTAGTGTGTCTTCTTGAGAAAAAATAAACATAAGACAGTGTCTTATTTTCGGGGAAACATGGTAAAAATACTCTTCTATAGAAAAAAAATTAGCCAGGTGTTGTGGTAGGCACCTGTAGTCCCAGCTACTCAGAAGGCTGAGGCAAAGGGTTTGCTTGAGCCCAACCGTTTGAGGTTGCTGTGAGCGATGATGACTACATGGCACTCTATCAGGGGCACAGAGTGAGACTGTCTCAAAAAAAAAAAAAGTCTCGTTCTTGAGCATATGTAAAACTTTAATAAAATAAATTGGTTAACGTTTTCCAACATGCAGTGACTATCACTTTCACCTCACATTAGTGATGCCCATGTTTTTTTCACACATGATAGCTCTCTGTGCCTCCAGGACATTGATGATGCAGCATTCCTTCAGGGAATCCAGGAAAAAGCTAAAACCATTTAAGTTGGCTTTGCAATCATGTAGATCACATCTTCCTTTGATTCCTGCTTATGGAATGTTGCTAGACTTGTCTATAAACAATCATGACTCTGATACTCCAGCAGAAAACTAAGCTTATTTTTTAGAGAAGATATGTGTAAGGGTCTCTGGTTAGAGAAATACCTGATGGACAAAATACCTGAACAGATCGAGAAAAAAATTAGACAAGTAGAGAAACGCTGACGGTTGAACACCAATAGGTACACAGAAAAATGAGAGTTAATAAGCAAGCGATTATTAACTCTGAAGAAAATAAAAAATTATACAGGAAAGGAAAAGTAATCACAGTACAGTCTACCACGTGGCTGAGTGTGAACAGCATTTACACGGTCATAATATAAAGCAGAATGCTGGCTTAGCCAAATGACACTACTATATTGGAAGGAGGAGGAGACAGAAGGGTATTTGTAGGGGTTAGGGGCCAGTGTGGGGGAAAAGAGCTAACTCCTAACCTTCCATAGTGGGAACTAAATTGATAATGCCTAAATAATGAGAAACCAATAAACGGCAGTGAATGGATAAAAAGAGCCACCAAAACAGTACTGGCAAATACTTGCCTCTGGGAAGGAGAAAACAGGGGAAGGCTGTGAACTGATAGTTTTTATACTACCCGTGTAGAATTATTTTACTCTGTAATCTATGTGCATTCAATAAATTGTGACACATATATGTTATAGAAAACTACATAGCTATGAAAAACAATAAGACATGTCTAAACATACTGAATTAGAAAGAAGGCCACAAAATATGCTGAAAAAAAGTTGGTGACACAAAACAAATATGATGTGACGCCCCTTGATTTAAATAAAGTCTCTGTTACCCTTGGTAGAGTGCTGTGGCATTGTAGCCCACCATAACCTTAAACTCTTGGGTTCAAGTGATCCTCTTGCCTCAGCCTCCCTAGTAGCTGCGACTAAAGGCACCCGCCACAACACCCGGCTAGTTTATTTATTTATTTTTTTTGAGACAGAGCCTCAAGCTGTCACTCTGGGTAGAGTGCCATGGCATCACAGCTCACAGCAACCTCCAACTCCTGGGCTCAAGCGAGTCTCCTGC